CTGTGAAGCATTATATGCTTAAAAATCCAATGTAGGATATAAACCCGACTAAACTGCAATGATAGCAAAGCTGTGGCTTGTGTTTTTGGGGTAATAAAGTCCAAATCATCGTTGGGCTGTCAGCCAATGAGTGACGTCTGAGGAAGATGAAACATGTAAATTAAACATTGTTGACAAAATGCTGCATCTCTTGCATTTATTGACATAGAGGAGCCTTATTGTTTATCTTTTTAATATCATTTTTTGTCATTTTCAATTGCTTGGTTTTCGTGAAATTAGCCTGTTTTCCTATTAAAGTGTAACATCTCCACAGATCATCTTAAAGGCTTCGGAATCCCCCCATTGTAGTTAAAAAACTGTAAAAACTAGGGCCCCCAAACAGCATCTTGCATAGGGCCCCCAAAAAGCTAGAAACGGCCCTGGATATATGTTCATCCCATCGACACAACAGATATACACATAGCAACACATAGCAATAAATAGCGATATAACAACACATCGACATGAATCAACACGTAGTAACAGCAACACACAGTAACCCCAAATACATATAGCAACAGATGACTTTTAGCAACAAACAGACAGTAAACAAAAACATCATGTGTGAATCCATATTATCCCATTAGTGTCAGCAAGGAAGATTGTTAGGGCTGCTTAGTGAGCTCTTTTTCCATTTCAGTGTCCTATGTCTCCAACATGGGAGTAATGAAGTCTTGGATCGGGGGATTAGTGTCATTTGATATTGTGAGAGCGATGTATGTGAGATTTATATCTGATACACTGGGTGTGAGAAGCAGATTAATTTTGCGGCAGTGCGTGTGATGCTGGTGAGTTTGTTTTCCGTTGGTGATGGTAAAATAGTGAAAAAGCAGGGGAAACAGGAATGCTTTTATAACTAAGCCACAGGAAGAAGCAATTGTTTAATGGACTATCAGTGATGAAAAGTGGAACATTTGTATTTACAACCCAATTTTGTACTTCTTTTGAAATATAATAGATTTAAAAATGTTACTTTTCAAATCACTTAATCATACTGCAACATCAATTTTAAGGTTAACAACAGTTTAATTTTCAATGAGTTGTTATACAATGCATATACAGTATAAATATATCCCTTAATATACTCCATTGTTTAAATTGCCTCCACCACACAAATGCTGCATATTGAGCATTTCTAGGTACTTGAGGTTATTGATATTATTTGTGTATTAACTTTTTATCATTTTAAATATAGGGCCTTTACTTGAAACTGAGTTTTTTTTCACACTACACCGGTATGGGTACTTTCACTAAATGAAGAAGCTGAGTACTTCTTTGACCAAGGGCATTCAGTAACGGATGTTTCTGATAAAGGTGGAGCCTCACCTTGGGCGCAGTGCTGGAGATCTTTAGAGTCACAACAATGGAGAATTGTTTGGGGAGGAGGTCGCAGTTGACCAGTAGCTGGGAGGAGGGAAAGCTCATGGAGGTGTGAGGGCTTGAGAAACTGATGCCCCTCACCCCTCCGGCCTGCTTCATGTTCACCCCTGGTACCAGTTTGGAGGTGTCCCTCTCCAGGACAAAAGACAAAAGATCCAGAGGAAGCATATCTGCAGACAATAAGCAAATAAAGAACTCAGGAAGATTGTTTTACAGCTGAAAGCCTTATTTATGGAGGAATTGCTACACTAAAGCAGTTGTTCCTAAACGTGGGGTAAGGACCCCCTAAAAGGGTCGCAAAATAAATATATGGGGCCCTGAGATGATTAATAGGATTGCAAAGAATCAATAAGATGATCTGCTTCCCACACTTTTTAGATTTCTCATCAATAAATTATTTAAACTCATGAAGCTCATTCTTAGGAATTGATGGAATAGTCAACCAAATAGGGAAATATTGTATTTCATACTCCACTACAATTATTTGACAGCTTTAGTTACTTAACAAATGAATATGTTTGCATACAACACAAGTGAAAATATGTTGATATGAGATGCTATGTAATCAAATAAACGGCCCAACAGCATTTACAAGTAGAGCTGAAACGCTAAAGTAAGGAATCCTACCACAGCTGCTCAGAGGTAAACCATTTGAGAGAAAAGGAGAAGACATAGCTTTATTGAGGTGACTCATGTATAAAATAATTGGGAGTCACTGCTATAAACTAATAAATCAATTATAATGCTGGAGTTTCTGACCCACCCGGTGTGTGGGAAATAGCCCTGGGTGATGGTGGAGCAATAGGAGGTGGGGTTGTTATTAAAAAAGGACGCTTCATGAGCAACGGCAATAATAGAAGAGAAATGCCCTGAAATTGATGAGGCATCATATGAATGTTCGTCCTGACAATATGATGTGTATAGAATTGTTGTGGAATCCTAACCACATCCAATGTCTGTACTTGTTTGTGGAAGTTCATTTAACTTAATATTGCACGCAATACTGCACACACACAAACACTCCCACTGCACTGTAAGCAGACACAGACAGTTGGAATTATCCAAAAGAATTTTAGCTGGAGGGGTTTCCCAGGTTTCTAAATGAAACCCTAAACCATCCGCACAATAATCATCAACTGAACATCAGATGTGTTGAAGTGAGCTGAGGTAATAGAGAGGGAAGCTGAGGTTAGGGAGAGGTAAAATAGAATTAAATGATGTTACCTGTGCAGCGTCTCCATGTGTCTGTGGTGCAGTCAATGACCCTTAACCCCAGGAGAAGGAAATGCAGAAAAATGAGCAAAGTCATCACAAAGATCCTGTTTGGTTCAGTTGCCAGCTGGTGCAAATGTCTCCATATCAAAGATATTTCTCTTGCTTCTTTTGTCTCTATCTTAAGTGACAACAAACGCAAGAGAAAACTGTGTATTATTCATGTTGATATGATTTTCAAGATCCAAAGAAAGATTTCTAGCCACAAACTCTGTTTCTAAAAATCACAAATATATAAACGAAGACCCAGAGCATCTGTGCTGGAAGAGGAATTCATTCATCTGTGTGGAGAATCCTGCACCTGCAGCTCCTTTTAAACACCAGAGCCATGCAAATCACTAACCAGCCTGTCATTCATCCTCCCTCAACCGCCTCTGATGACACAGCCCTGCCAGAGGGTGAGCTGCTCCTGTGTGTGTGTGTGTGTGTGTGTGTGTGTGTGTGTGTGTGTGTGTGTGTGTGTGTGTGTGTGTGTGTGTGTGTGTGTGTGTGTGTGTGTGTGTGGTGTGTGAGTGTGTGTGTGTGTGTGTGTGTGTGTGTGTGTGGCCTAGCATTACTATACTTGTGGGGACCTAAATCTGTTTACATAGTCACGTGTGGGGACTCCCTCCATTACAAAATGGAGGTCCCCATGAGGGGAATCATTACTTTTAGGGTGAAGACTTGGTTAGGTTTAGGGTAAGGGTAAGGGTAAGGTTAAGGGTTAGGGTTAGGCATGTGTTGGTTGTGGTTAAGGTTAGGATAAGTCTCCAGGAAATGCATGTAAGTCAATGTAATGTCCCCTGAAGTGATGTGTGTGTGTGTGTGTGTGTGTGTGTGTGTGTGTGTGTGTTTACATATTTCAATGTAATAGTATAGAAAATGTCTGTCCAAAGACACATTCCTCCTGATATTCACGACATGACAAGGGGCCATAGCAGACAAAATGTAATTAAAAAGGCAACCCAAAAACATAACAGTTGTGACCTCGGGTGCACTAATGGAAACATGGATATGAGCGGAGCTATTATCATATTAGTTGTTATCCCTATAGTTTATTACCTGAGAAACTGAGGCATGTGCATGAACCCAGCTGTGATATTAAAGTCTCGAACCAGGATGTTTTCCTAAATAATCTGCAAATATGGGGCAGTCTGGGGCAGTGAAATTAGGCAAACACTGCAATGACAAAGTAATAAGATGGCCTGGGTTAAATACAAATTGCATAATATAAAATTGGTTAAATCCCATGTTTTGACTTTTGAATGCAATGTCTAGTTTTCTATGGTCACCTAAAAATGTCATTCAACAACAAAGCCTATTTGATCCTGATGTGTTGGTTACTAGGCACTCGTGTAATATTCAGTCTGTGTTGTAAGAGACGTCGGCATCAGACCTCTCTGAATCCTATCATCCACCGACCGGCACATTTACAAGGCAAATACACTTGTCGCCCATAAAGATCATAAACTGCACGCAGATCATGATACCAGATATAAACCCTGCCCTGCTTTTCTTTTCCCTCTTTCCATTCATTAATCTTTCTTCCTTCCAGGCATGGACTGCAGTTTCAGAGGGAGATGTTTGCATGCAGAATTGTGAATAGAGATTTTCCACTTGTTTTTCCTTATTCCTGGTTTGGCTTATCAACTGCTGCCATACGGCTTATCACTTTTCCAGTTGTGGTGAAAGTAACCAGTCGATGTGTCAGATTAAATCTAAAACTCTAAATCTGGCATTGGCTGTTAAAGGAACTATTTTTAATCCTTATCTGATTTAATATAATTACTTTTTTTAGGCTGCTTTAATCAACCAAGTGATCCTTTGTATTATTTCATGTATTCACGGATAATAGAATGTTATTCTAACTTTTGTCTTTACATTTAAGCAGAAATGTCTAGATTCTTGTGTTTCTGCATGTCCATGTTTCATATCAGATATAATCTTTTTTTGGTGAATATTCAGAGAAGTGTGTTTTGTGATAAATTAAATCAAAGCAGACAGAACATAGATCATAGTTCACTGGCACCATCTAGCTGTCAATTTCCTTAAAAACACATGCAGTGTTTCAATCTGTCATTTTTGGCATACATTTTTAGCAGGCAAGGCTTAAGAATTCAAACCGTGTCTTTTGTATATCCAACACACCTCAACTATGTATAATTGTGTTATGACAGCCATGTTCTGCCATGTGACAAGATTTCAAGAATACCAGGTAGAAGAGAGAATAAATGGTTGACACGTGTTACAGGTTGAGCAGTGACATGTTGGACAAAAGCAAATACACATTGTTGAACACACAAATAAATAACAATGCATGTGACAGCAAATCTGAGTACCAAACTATATTTATTGTATACAGTAGTAAAAGACCACAAATAATGTACAAATCAGTAGAGAAACAAATAGCATGACAAGACGCGGGCCCAGTTCTTCGTACATGACAAGGCTTAGCTCATGTTAGCCAAGCTTAACATATCTTAGTCCTGCTAACTAAGTTCTTCAAATGCAAGTGGAAGGCTGTCCTGATAACTCTGCTTTTTTTGTGAATGAAAAGCTAAAACCAGGACCAATACTTGATGTGCTTGACAACAAAAAAAACTCTGTACCAACCTAGCTTGTCAAATGCTTGTTAATCACTGTAGGAAGGATGACAGTTTGTCCTTAAAATGTGTTAGTGAACATTTGAGCATGTGTCAACAGTCAAGCTTTTCAAACAGTGATGTTATATGTTAATTAAAAACGTTTAATGTTTGGCATTTAGTTTTTATTCATATAGAATGCATACAAAAATACAGCTGACACATGATTTGGACTACAATTTAATTACCGAAAAAAAGAAAGCTCCTTTCTAGTGTGGCTGAGCAAAACTACATCCAAGGTTATGGAAACGTATCTTGCGGCGACTTGAACACATGAAATTCCGAAAACAAATTACATTTGGAATATTTAAAAATGGTTTGTCATGATCCAACTCACTCTGAAAATAATCTTGTGGACTACTTGCTTCAAAAAACATATTTTCCCGACTGAACTGAGACACCCAAATTCAGGTCAGGGCATCAACAATTACAAGCAATCTCATGTAATGGTGTACGAAGAACGGGGCCATGTGGGTACAGAACAATTATCTCCCAAACTGCATTGGTTGCCCTCCCAATTTGCAACAAACTCATCACCACCTAAGATTGTTTGCAGATCTGAAGTCAGGCTTTTGAACCGATTGCCTTAAGCGTTTAAACAAAAGAAAATAGGTTGATTTCTGACAAAGCAGTGAAAAGTGTCTTCAAAATGAGTTGGCAGAAACTGACTTTTATTGGATATCCGCTCTCAAACTAGGAGCTGCTTTTCTTCAAAAACATTTAGAATCAGTTTTCTCATGAGTCTACATTCTCAAAGACAATGCAGACTCAAGAACAGCATTGAGTAACAACCTTCCAGTTATTACCCCCAAAATGTAAAACACACAAGCAGAGCCAATTGTAAGAATACCATTAGGGACTGGCCATTGACCAGCTTAATCAGAAAAAGGGGGAAGACAAGTCATGTATTCCACATTAAGAGACCATCGTTACAAAGATAGACCACAACCAGTTCCAGCAAAGGATAAATAACATTTCCCTCACTTAAACAGGCTTTTGTCTGGATGAGCGAATAAAAGTCTGAACCACGGATACCCAGAGAAGATTTCTCAATGAAAAAGGAAGCAAATAACATGAATTAAATACAAACTCCCTTAAAATGTGACGGGTTAGACCTTGCAATTTGCTTCTACAGTGATCCAAGTACATCAAATATAAAACAGAAGTTCATTCTTTGGAGTATTGGTCCAAGCCCCAAAACTTAATCTAACATCCACTCTGAGACTTCTGTATACAGAAAATCAACAAGCCTCCTGCATGGTAATTGTTAAAAGACAATTAAAAAACAAACAAACATTGCAGAACTCTTAAGCGAAAGCACCTAAAATGCAGAGAATCAAAATACCTTTCTTGACAGAAGAGCAGGAGTCACCGTTCAGATATAAAAAAAAACACACATGAAAGCGAAGTGAAATGGAAGGCGGGTGTGTATTAAGTTCAGATGGTGCTTCCACTTCACAACATTTCCATGCCTACTGAGTGTGACCCCGGACAAAAACTTGCATTCGACCCTGATGGATGAAAACTGTGACAATATACCAGATACTAAGCTTTCACTGGAGTGAATGAGAAGCACTGACAAACCAGGAACACATGTGACGCGCTGATGGTCCAATCGCAGCCTGCGGTGTCAGAAGGAAAGGTTGTCCTGATTGGCCAGCAGAGAGACTGTTGACACGCACAAAAGTTCAGTCCTGGCTGTGACAGTACATAAACAGCTGAGGGGCCCCCTCCCCTCACACACCTGACGAAGAACCATGACAGATATCTCAACTGAAATAATAATAATAATAAAGATAATAATAGTAGGCTGAGAGGAGCGGTGGGAAGGGGAGGGACAGTGAAGGTGGCTGAGGGTGTGGTCTGAGGGTGGCCGTCAATTAGGGTGGTGGTGGGGTGGAGGCTTAGCAGTGTCCGCCTGTCTGCTGCTGGAAAACATCTATGGTGTCTTCATCTTCCATCTCCAGCTGAGAGAGGCAGAGGAAAATAGATCCCAGTAAGTACATATAAACTATAGAGAACCGCAGTCCTGAAACCCGGAAGTAAGTTAGCCTTTTTACCACGTCCGGTTCCTTCGACAAAAAGCAATGCAATTTCTCCATAGGATTTTGGAAAATAGCTCCAAATAATGTCTGTGTTTGACACAAATTGAAGAGACAGATCACGTTTTGTTCTACGACATTAACTACATCAGCAGCTGGTGATTTTTGAAGAGTTGACGTGTCTGAAAAACGATGGTTGTTAACAAGTGGCTGAATAGGACTACAGAAGTTGTCCAGGCCGTTTTACATCATTACACCGAACACGTAAAACACTCCCGCTAAGTTTGTTTGCCCTGTTCTGCTTGAAAGCAAGTACCTGCCTCCTGCAAACTACTCAAACAAACGCTTCAACTTGAACCATTTAGAATCTGTATGTTTGAATATGGATCTTAAGTTGGCGTGACGTTGAAGCAGCGACCCTGCTGTAGTTAGTTTATAGCATAACGTTAGCATTTTGCTTCTGGCGACTAGATTTATGATTAGAAAATGATAAAAGAAGGGTAGACATGTGGATATTATCCGGCTGAACAAAACGTGATCCATCTCTTAAATGTGTGTCAACCACAGACCTTATTTCAAGCTATTTTCCAAAATCCTATGGAGAAATTGCATTGCGTTTTTGACGAAGGAACCGGAAGGAGTTTACATCCGGGTTTTAGGACGCGTCACTGCGGTTCTCTATAACTATACAGGTATAATGATGCCGATTTATAAATATAACATTTTAGTAAACTTTTCATAGACGCTAAATAAACATTGCTGAATATTCTCTTCAACAATGACAGGCTTCTGTGTTGCGTAATATATTACCTGTGCAGGTGTATCCGTCTCATTGATAGGCTGGCCGTCAAACCTGAACCTGATCTGCCTTATTGCGAGACCCTGCAGAAGTGAGGACAGACATGAGGGTGAATTTACACATAGTAGCAACATGAAGTGTGCAACTAATGGTAAGGCTGTTGCAGTAAGTTTAATTTGGTCTTTCAACTTACCTGTCGGTCACAGTATGCCTTCATCAGTTTGCTGAGCGGTGTGTGTCTTTTGATTTTGAACTGGACCACCGACCCATCTTGCCCTGCAACCTTAAGATTGATGTGATCGTTCTCAGTCTTTACTCCCTCCTGCAAAAACAAAAGTGTTTAACATGGCGTAAACATGCAGGTTACAAGCTACAGTCACCACATTCATGACACTAATGGAGCTTACTCTAAAGTCACTGCATGGTTCACTGCAAAAGAGCAGTATTACAGTTGCATGACAAACGAAGTAACATAAGTTACCACTTACCAGGCTGCCAGCTAACGCTACAAGCCTGAAACTTTTAAATACATTTAAGTGAAAACTCGATGTGTGGTGAATGAAAACACAATCAAGTAGTTATTTAAATAAACAAACGTATGTGAGGCAGCATAAAACATGCAGGTTAAGGTTGCTTCAGTCACAGATGCTAACGTTAGCATGATTAGCTTCGGGCTAGGTATTTGGTACACCAGCCGATACTGAGTTTAGCTGCCGGCTAACGCTGCTAGCGGTTTTGTTTCGTTGTACTGATGCAAAATAGGCACTGATACATTAAAAACAACCACAATAGCACAGCTACAGTGTATTTTATTTCTGTGATGCACCTCCATTTGCGCTCTTTTGTAGCTGCTGCAGTTGCGGCATTTTCGGCGTTGCGGGCATAACGTGGTCCCGTTTCGACAAAGAAAAAAATCCGCTAATGACAATCATGGTGTAATTGACATTTCCGATCAAAATCTTCGAGTCTCCATTTAGTATGACATCATATATCCACCAACAGAGTGATGTGTAGCCGCATGTAGATGTAAATATGGATGTGACTGGTACTCATTCATTTGCGAAACAAACACTGCGCCGATTCAGAGAAACGTGCAAACCAGGCCATTTTAGATTGCACATCTAAGAAATGGTTTGTCAGGAAATCTACTCAGCAATCACTATAAATATACAGCTATTTAATTCCTTATATCTTACCTTTGGCTTTTCCTCTGACATCCTGGCTGTATTTTGTGTGCTGGGGTTCAAAATAATCGGTTAATTGGGCTATATTTGTCTCTCTGCCGCCTTCTGTGCTCTCTTTTCCTCCGCTGTCGGGTGCGCGCTTTGGACCGAAGTTATAATGAAACGATTGGACCCGAGAAGACCACGTGACTGGTAAATCTCGGGAGCGCGGACACGGGAGCGCGCATATGCAAATTACTCGAGCACGCGAGCCCAAGAGCCCATGGAGTGAATGCTCTTCTATTCCTCTTAATACTCCTACAATAGCATGTTTTTATAGGATATGTATATATATGTATTAAAACAGTAAGTAGGCTATATAAATTAGTGCCTGAAAGTTATATTAAAAATCATTTTTTTCAGATTTCAAGCACCATTTTAAATGTCCTTACGGCTTCAAAACTATTTTACTCACAAACACTATATTTACTAAAAGCAAGTTTAACTTATAGAAAAAACGTTTATTTTAAGTTATATTTAATTATATATTAAATATAAACATTAGGGCTGGACCCGAATAACCAACTGTTGTAAACATAGGTATTGGATTTTCAATTTGGGTTTAGATTTTTTTCTCAGAATACCTGACATGCATAACACGTCAATAATTCCTGTTTCTTCCATGTATGCAATTATTAACAATACAACAAACTAAGGTACTTTATAATGTGGAAAAATACACTAATTTAATTAAAACGAAGGTTGTGTATTTCAGAGCTGTACCATCCATCTTAGCTGAGAACGTAGATGTCTGCCGTTGTACTTCTCGAGTCTTGTGTCATGGAGACATCAGGCAGAGCGCTTGGACTGTATCGGAGAGGCTTTACAGTTTAAAATATGGAACTTTCTCACTTACCTGAACCTGACTGACAAAATATAAGGCAAAAGTTGTTGTTTAAATTATAGCACAACACAGTCAAATCACACAATAAAAGTCCAGCGTCAATAAGGATTAAAATATAAGTCCAGAGTCTTTTTTATTTGGCTTGTGTGTCGATACAGGATATACATGCAATGTAGAATTAGGCAGACTTTTATCAATCATCAGGATCAACACATTCAACTTTAGTTAATAATTACTGGAAGCAAGGGTACAGTGAAACATGGAGCAGTAACACAATACAAAATTGCCTCCTACATCCCTGGATAAGAATGACTAAATTTGAGATAAGTAATTAGACAGTACAAAAATAGCGTATACTTATTATACTTATTATTCTCAAAATCAGCAGCAACTCAGAGTGGCAAAACAGATCAATCTGAAAATGTGCAGATACAAAGATATTATAGCAACCAAGCTGGATTCTCTCCATTCTGTACATTTAAACTAAGGACTTTACCTAATAAATAGTATAAGGCTGATGCTATCGGAGCCGCATAATAGACTATTATAGTCTTGAAAAGCACTGCTGCCACAGGCGTCTATTCTAGCTTTTGGTTTACAACCTCTTAGGAAATCACATTGAGCACAACAAACCTATTCATTGGCTGGAAAGAACAATACATGCTAAACAAAACTACTGTCACCTGTCTTAGCTATATTACATTAATTCTCACATCTAAAAAACACTTTGTTGATGTCTGCTCTGCGAGAGGTCAGAGTTCAGAGGAAAAGAGAAAGATCCTCATGCGAATTTGGAGTATGGATTTTGCCCACTTAGTCCTGGAGAAACATAAAACAATCAGTAAAAGTCTTGAATCAACTTCATTTCAAAGAGTAGTCTTTGGGAAACATGTGTACTTGTTTTTCTTGCTGAGAGCTAGAGGAGAGGACTGGCACCATTGTCATGTCTTTTAGACTAAAAGGAAGCTAGCATCAGCAGCTGGTTAGCCTAGCTTAGCACAAAGACTGTAAATAGTATTTAACATCTATTGCTATGTCTGTAATCTGCTTACCAGTGGGTCTAAAGTTGATCAATATTGTGTTATTTTGCATTTGTTTATATATCTAAAGAACAACGTGTACCAATAACACATTCAAGGGAGACTGAACAACATATCACTTATTTTGTACAGATGTGTATGATAAAGACAGGACAAAAGGTATGTAAGCAAGTGAGTGTGCTCACCATATTTCTTCCTGATATCGTTATGTCTCTCATTCATTTCTGCTTTCCTGTAAGGACAAAACAATCTCTTATGAGCACAATGACTGATAATACGTTTTAAACACTCAAACACTCCCACAAGTCATGTGGCTACAAGCCAGTTTGGGCTGGTAACAGTTTGACGTATGCTTTTGTAGTTTGCTATGACGGGAACTGATATGAATCATGTCCAACAAGGCAACAGGGGCAACTAGAGCAACTAGAGCTGTGGATACTGAACCAGAGCCTTTGGTCAATAGTTCTCTATATGAATACATCTAATGTGTGCATTTTTACTGAAAGAGAAAACACATCAAATGAAATCACTGTTGAATCAAGAGGTTGGTTAACTTCACCTTTGATCCTCACCGGTCGCTATTTCAGTAAGATGCAGCCTGATAGTCAGACCGATTTGCTTTATTATTAACCGTTTTAATTGTAAATTCAAGTCCACCTATTGTATCTGAGTTCATGTGTTACTGTGTCTCTTGAAACATCGTGTAGCACAAGGGCAAACATCACTTTAACAGAACATCATTTCGTACCTTTCTTCCTGCTTTGTCCTCGTTTTGTTGGCCTGTTTCTGCAACTTGGCTTCCGTCCTTTTGGATCTGACACACAAGTTAGGCTGAGGTTAGATCCTGGAAAGGTACTCCGTGAGTGTTTCCAGGGCAGATGCCTTAAGGTGACCACACCAAAGCTGACAGAAATGTTCAGCATGTGGCCAAATTATCTTATCATCATTGAACTTAATTATTCCTAAATACACAAGGATCATATTCATTATCATAACATCACCTTGTAATGAATTAAGTTCCAGACTTATTCTGGCTTCAAACTCACCAAAATGTACTTTCTGATTTCATCATTCAAAGACAAATTAAAGAAAAGTTTGTTTGTTTGTGTTATTGTTTGTTAAATGCAAGTATGTATATATTTGTGTATTACTCATGTCTAATGACAAAATCCATAAAGTTGCAGACACTGTAACAGATAGACAGTAGGTACTACAACTATACAAAACAAATCATGTCTGACCTTTCTCCTTTACCTACAGTTCATTAAGTCCCTATAAAAAAAGTTGCATATTCCCTTTATCATCATTATCAGTCATAGAGTGATAAGATCTCCATAAAGTAGCTCTCTCGCTGCACACTTACCCAAAGTTCTCACACTTGCAGCAGCAGAACAGGCAGATCATGAGGGCGATGATGAGAATTGCACCCAATACTGACAAGGTAATTATCAACGTCTGGAAGTTCACTACAGACAAAAACAGAGAAACACAATGACAAAGGTATGCAGGAATCCACAGACCTACCTTCAAGATAGAAAGATAAAACATGTTCTTCCTATTATTCAGCACTACTTTTCTTTTCATCACATCACTGACATAGTCACTCTTATCATTCTAACCTTATGTACATTGCAAAGTGACTTTTTTGACCACAACCACTTGTAATGTTGCTTGGTTTCTGTGTTATCTTTAGACCAGGAGACATAAAGGTCAGTTCAGTGCAAGACTGAAGTGCAAGTCGCAGTTTAACATTTACAAATACATGTCAAAACTGTAAGTACTCTTATGAGAATGTTTAATTATCTGTGTTAATTTTTAAGCCCCATTTTGCTTTAGTCTGACCTTGAAAAGCACACCAATACTTTATTTATCATCATAATTCATATAATTGACAGCCAGTAGGGGCATATTGTACATATGAGACAACATAAATGTGTCTATTGTCAGAAGATTTGGGTTCTATTGCCTTACATTTCATTGAGTATATCAGACAATTGAGACATTGTAGATATCAAAATTGTGTTTGATTTAATCTGGGGAGCTGTCATGGACCCTTTTCCCCACTTTCTGGTGTTTCATAGACCACACTGAGTTGATTCATTTACAATAATAATAACTTGAATTTATATAGCGCCTTTCATAACCTCAAGGTCGCTTTACAAAGAAACATACAGGCACAAGACATAAAACATAATAAAAACATAAACATAAAACAGGGGGCAGAAATGGAAGTGGAGGGGGGGGGGGGGGGGGGGGAGTTATTGTTGGAAGGCGATGTTGAACAGATGAGTTTTAAGGGTTGATTTGAAGATGTTGAGAGAAGGGGCGTGGCCTCTATGGGCGTGGCGGATTTCTGCAGGGACAATGAAATATATCTGTAATGGCAGTCCTTCATCAGAGGAATGTAGCTGAGTCACCTGTGACATTTGCTTGAGTTAACTTAGGTTGGACTAAATGGAAAAATACCAATGATGAACCAGTTCCTCAAAACGAGTAATTCATTTTTTGCATAGGAATTGACAAAAATCCCTAAATGAATAATGAACTATAGGCTTATGTAGGCACTCATTAAAGGGTGGAGGTGTGATTCGATATTATTTTAGGAGAGGTCTTTAAAAGTGTAGCTTCTTCTACCCAACACAATGTCCTGTTAACGTTGAAAGAATGTACATCTGAGTATATGTTGATAGAAGTGTGATTTTATATATGATTGTATATTAATGTGTTTGTATTTCTTACTCCAGCAGAGCCCCCAACGTGCTTCTTTCAGAGGACAGAGTGCATGTGGTGGAAGGATGGTCTTCACTGGATACGTTACACACGACTTGGATGTGATACACCACAGACACTGTAAAAATACCAAAACACATAAAGACTTATTATCTGAATTGGATCAGGTATTCATATGTAGGACACACACACTGGCACACATGCAGTTAAAAATGGAGGAAGACCGTGAAAGTGGATAACAGATCAGTTAACTCCTCAAACCTGTTTAACTGGTATGGAGGTGAAGGAGGTGCCAATGGCTTTGTTTCCTCCACCTGCAGCAGTTCTTTTTCAATCATGAACACACAGAGACAGACTAACAACAAAGGGAAATTGACCCAGCAAAAACAAAAGAACTGACCGACACATTTTTCAGACATTCCTCGCAGTTTGTCCCATTCTTCGACTCACACGCTGCGAGAAAAGAAAATCAGTTTAGATAAAAGAAAACACAAAATGATCAACAGAGGGTAAATAAAGGAGTC